ATAGCAACACCGGTTTACAAATTTATAACATGTAAGACAAAACTAGATTGCAATATAATATATGAAATAATATCACTAGCAGCCAAGCTCACGTTTAAGTAATCAATAATTATGCTACAATTAATATAATGCATGTGATTGAATATAATTAGTGTGTGTATGGAGACAGAGTCTGAGAGTGAGAGACAGAGAGAGGGGTGACTAAATAATTAAAACTGACTTTAATTTCTCTTATTTGAATTTTGTTTGCTTCTCAGTAATATAATTATTATAAGAGGGTTTACAAATTTATAACATGTAACACAAAACTAGATTGCAATATAATATATGAAATGGTATCACTAGCAGCCAAGCTCACGTTTAACTAATCAATATAATATGCTCAAATTAATATAATGCATGTGATTTGAATTCTTGTGTGTATGGAGACAGAGTCTGAGAGTGAGAGTGGGGTGAGTAAATAATTAATAATTAATAATTAATACTGGTTCTTTCTTATTTAAATTTTGATTACTTTTAATAAAACTGTCTTGATATGTTTTGTTCATCTTCTGAAAAATAAGAATAATTATTTTTAATTTTAAATATTTAAACTATACTATTACTAATTTACTATTTGATGGGGTATGGATCCAATGGGCTAGAGGTCCAAGAGAGTAAGATGGATTAAGGAATGGACTTGCTGCAATGGGCCCAAAGGTGAAGGAAATCTACTCCATGGGCCTCAAGAAGACCACGTGAAGAGCTCGGACGAGTGGGGAGCCGAGTTCGGAGAGTCGGCTCAGCAGGTGATCGTTGCTACTTCAATGTCCGCCATTAATATGGGTCAAATCCGACCGTTGGAGGAGCCCAGTAACGGTGATCCAACGTCTCTGGGCCTTTATTTTCTATTATTGCGCATTAAAGCTTGTATTTAGTTGATATAGGTCGGACACCTATAAATAGGTCTCCCACAAAAATGTAGAGGACCAGTTTTCTGGACCTTTATTTTCTATTATTGCGCATTAAAGCTTGTATTTAGTTGATATAGGCCGGACACCTATAAATAGGTCTCCCACAAAAATATAGAGGACCAGTTCCTAAGTCGGGAAGAAACCCGGAAACCATAAGAAGATATTACATACTTTCTAGCCATCTTTTTCTTTCAAAAGTCACTTTACATCTTCCCATTCCGGTGAATCCACCAGCCTTCCGGACTAGACTAGGATGTCTACGTACATTCTCGTTTGATTCCTTGGTTATTTGTTCTCCCTAATCCCATAGGTTATTGAATCATCTAGATGATAATGCTCCCTAGTCTATAGCTTTTAGGTCCAATTTCTTTATTTTGTAATTACTTCCTGTTAATACGTGTTTATATTATCTTGTTTAGTTACTGTAACTTTAAAACTTGTTATAGATTGTTTAGCTTCTTGTTGATTTCCTAGTGATAGTGTCTAATTGCTTATATTTGTATATTACATGCCATAACCACAATCCTTAAAGAACGACAAAACTACATATGTGCTTCCCTAAACTACATCACCTAACTCTAAAAATAGTTGGTTTTATCAGGCTGACACATCGAACTCGGGCTAAGATTGACATCCCTACATAAAGAAAAAAGTGAAAAAATAAAAGATGGTAATTTTAAAAATATCTTATCATTATTCAAGGAATAAATCAAAATGTACAAGTCATCAATGCACATAATTATACAAACACAACATTTTAGATTCCCATTAAAACTTTATCAACATAGAGTCTTATATAATTTAGGAAATTATTATTATTATTATTATTATTATTATTATTATTATTATTATTATAATTATTATTATTATTTTGCTAATCATATACATTAAAAATAAAATATTATATAATAAAAATAATATTTATTTGATTTCAAATTTATATTTTGTATTTCTTATATTTAATTTAAATAAATAATTCTATATTTTTAAATCTTAAATTTTTATTTTTTACTTTAACGGAACCATGCGTACCTGACACACCATACTCTGCTAATCCATATATCATAATAATTAACTAGTGAAATTTAATTTTTTTTGAATGATACTGACTCTATTACAATATATATCTGTTCAGATACTTTCTCAACATATTGAAATACAAAGAACTAATAACGCCTCCACTAAGGCTTGAACTCATAACCTTCTAAATAGAAGTCTAACCCGAATATCATTAGACCACATAATCTTGGTAGTGAAATTTAATTTGTTTTCAACTAACATCTAAATTATCTTCCTAATGAAAACCGAGCCACCTACCACTCAAACTCAAAGCCGTTGGTGAAGGGCACGTGATCGGTCCACATACTCAGCTTTAAACATTTTATATCATGCATCATGCATGGTACGAACGTTAATATAATACTGGTAAGAAAACGTGAAAACAAACGGTCATCGGGTTGATAATAATAAAAAAATAATATAGGGGTCGCTGATTCCAAAAAAAAAAAAAAAAAAAAAAAAAAAGGAATATGTCTAATTTTCTATTGGTTTAATTTGAACCAAGACCAGTTGTTTTAAAATAAATAAATTTAAAATAATAAGAAGATGATTAAAAAAAAAAAAAAACCAGCAAAGAAGAAAGATAAATAGTAAACAAGATTGGATTGGTAAAAAAGGGACAGAGTGGAGAGTGGTAATAATTATTATTCCATATCTTTTAGTTTTATGCGCAGGAGGGGCGATATGATTATTCTTCTCGTTGGCGTTCTTCTTGCGTCCCGATCGGCCGACCCAAAAGATCGGCTATCTCGTCCGGCGGTTATTCAAGGAACATTATATCGTCCCACAGTCTCTTGTCTTAAGGGTGTATTAAATTCCAACCTATTTGCAGTACCTTTAGTCAAAAGTGAGTATAAAGTACTTTAGAATTATAAAAAATTAAAAACTTTCAATAATTACATAGGTGGTATGAATAGCCAAATGAGAATTTATATTGCTATTTACACAACCTTGATCAAATGTCATTTACGATGTGTAATGAATAATTTTTTAATTCAAAATTTAATTAATTAAAACATTTAAAAAAAAAAAAAAAAAGCCTTCGTCTCCCGGCCGCCGGAGAAGAAGGGACGACACTTCGTCCCTTCTTCTCCGGCATGGAGACGAAGATTCTTCGTCTCTAGGCTGGAGACGAAGGAACCCCGGCCTTCGTCTCCAGGTCGGAGACGAAGAGGTCCCTTCGTCTCCGGCAGCCACAAGACACATCAGCCCAAAAAAAAAATAGTAAAAATCGCCTTCTCCGGTGAGAAGACGAGGGGCGGCTGCCTTCTCACAGGATAAGGCAACCCAGTTTGCCTTCTCACCGGGTAAAGTTAGGGGTTTTTTTTTAATTATAATTAATAGTTGGTTGATTAAAAAAATAAATATTAAATATTAATGTTTAACTACATTTAATGAAGGTGGTGCAAATATCATTTTTCTATTTGCACCGCCTATAAAGCTATTACACCTATTAAATGGGTGGTGCAAATAGCAACTAGGGTGGTGCAAGTAGAATTTTCCTTTTAAAATTAGGTGGTACTCAATTAAGACTTTTAAAGAGTCAAATGCATGCAGCAATGCGGCGGAATTAGGTGCGGTAGAATTTCATAATACACCAACAGTGTAAGGAAAACACATCACAATGAAATACAAAAAAAAAAACACTAAAAATACACAACAGACCCAAACAAAAATACACCATATAACTCACCACCCTTAATGGTGTATTTCCGAACACTGTATGGTGTTTTTACTCACACCTAATGGTGTGTTTTTGGTGATGTGTACTTAATTTGTGTGTGTTTTTGTGGTGCATTTTCCTAATCTTAATGATGTATATTTGTTGAACTATTGGTGACACCGCACCTAAGGGCATCGCTGCACTTGAACCTCTCTCTCTATATGTGTGTGTGTGTTGATTCCATTTGATTCAATATAAAACAACATACAAATACACTACGCTGAACAATCAAAACGATAGACTCGTAATCAACCCACAATTAAATTAAACTTTATAATTAAAACTCTCCAAATATTATGGACCCCAATTGTAATGATTAATTAATTTACAAGTAGGCTCTTGATATGAAATGTTAATTAATACCTTTATGCCTTATAACATGAATGCAGAAGCACACAATTAACAATAAATCGCATGTAAATCAAATCAATCAACTAAATAATGTTCATGATCACGAATTTTTAATTAAATAGAAATAAAATACTAAAATTTACTGTAATCTGATATATGTAGACCGAATAAATCAAGTAGAATTGCTTCACCACGGGAAAACTTATGATCCTTATTAGAGTTTTTCTTGGTAAACTAAAAAACTTATGATCCTTAAATGTTTTATGGGTATTTATAGATGTGATGAGAAACCCTTTTTCACAAGAAATGTGAAACCTCCTTTGATTTTAGGAATAGATCCTTTAATTTTAGGAATAGAAATGAGAAACCTTCTTTTAGAAATAAAAATTCCTTTAATATGAAACGTCATTTTAGAACTTTTAACAGAATGAGTATGAGAGGAATGAACCTTTATTAGAGCATCCACATCAAGTTCATGAGGGGTTATTTAACAATTTTAAGACATTGCATCCCACTGGGAGGTGAGAGAAAAAAAGAGACTCCTCTTCAAAGACCCGGTGCTTGAAACAGTGCAATGCTAGAGGAAGGTAGAACAGCTGTGGGCGTTTCGCGCACAACAGTAGCCCACACGAGCGCGTCTAACCCTTCTTTTTATATTATTTTAATTTTTTTTTCTTTCTCCTCCCATATTCTCTTTCCTAATCACTTTTACAAAAACCCTTTAAAAATCGCACTGTAGTTAAACTTATTAGAATGGTCTTATATGAATTAAGATTAGAAATAAATTATTTCTAAATGTTAGGTTACCCATGATTTATTTATTTTATTATTTTTAAATGATGGCATGATCCGATATTCCGATCTATATAAGTTTGGAACAGGCGAACAGCCAACTCCAGATTGAGCAAGTAAACCTAGCCTGCAGGCTGCAGCCATGGCTACGTCAACTCATCCAATAGTTTCATGCACCAACATCAATTCCTTCTCCACCAACTCGTCTTCTCCCCGTAACTTTTCCAGACCACCTTCCCAAATCTTCCTCAACCCCAACCCCAGCAGGGCAGCAAGGCGTGGTGACGCCGTTAAGATCCGGTGCGCAGCCTCGTCGGAGGGGCGTGATGAAAACCCGGACAGCCTCTCTAAGGCGAAACTCGACCGGAGAAATGTCCTTCTGGGCCTCGGCGGTCTCTACGGCGCTTACAACTTGGGCGCCGGCGGGTCCAACCCCTTTGCCCTGGCCGACCCTGTGCCGCTCCCTGACGTCGCCAACTGCGGCCCTGCTACCATTTCGTTCAGCTCTTGTAAAGTGCCATACCGCTGTTGCCCTCCCATCACGGATACTACAAAGGTTGAGTACTATAAGATCCCCAGTTTTTCCAAGCTTAATGTCAGACCGGCCGCTCACGCGGTAGACGCCGCCTACTTGGAGAAGTACAAGACCGCCATTAAGCTAATGAAGGAGCTTCCCCCCAGTGATCCCCGAAGCTTCGACAATCAAGCTAAGGTCCACTGCGCTTACTGCAATGGCGCTTATCTTCTCAACGGCAACCCCTATCAGATCCACTTCAACTGGTTCTTCTTCCCTTTTCACAGATGGTACCAACTACCGCCCGCACTTAATTTTTTATATTACTGAATTGGGCGGGAATCTCGATCAATTTTGATCTATATATACTCACTTATTTAGCCCCATATTATATATATTCAAAATTCTTAAGGGCATTTTTGTCATTTTCAAATTAGGATGTGAAGTAAAAGGATTTAAGCTCTCAGATCGATATCAATGGCAGTTAGTTCTCCTTCTCGATCTTAGAGCTTAAATCTATTTATTCAATGAGATCTTAAGTTGAAAATTAAGGAGAAAAGGGTCAAAGAGGCCCCCAAACTTTACCTCAAATGTCAATTAGGTCCTTAAACTTTAAAAAAGTTCAATTAAACATTTAAACATGTCAAATTGAGTCAATGAAGCCTAAAAACCGATAAATGACTTGTTATTACAGGTCATTCCAATTTCGACAACGGATTCCCGCCACAGGTGACGAATTCCGTCCACCGGCGACAATTTCCGGTCGTCTTCCACTGGAGAAGACGACCGGACGGCCGCCTTCTCCAGTGGAGAAGATGACTAGACCAGATCTGGTCGTTTTCTCCACTGGAGAAGGCGGTCGTCCGGTTGGCTTCTCCCGTGAAAGATGACCGGCCGGTCGGAAATTGTCGTCGGTGACTGGAATTCGTCGCTGGTGACCGAAATCCGTCGCTGAAGTTGAAATAACTTGTAATAAGAGGTCATTTATCGATTTTTGAGTTCCACGTAACATTGTGTGGACCATGGTCCACACAATAATTTGCCAAAGGCAGTACATGTAGTATTTTTCAAATAAAATTGGTGGGTATTTGCTCTATTATTTAATTTAATTTGCATTGCATGTATGTATGTATATATCAGGTATCTGTACTTCTTCGAAAGGATCATGCAAAGCATGATTAACGACCCAACATTCACGTTGCCGTACTGGAACTGGGACAATCCACCGGGCATGACTTTCCCGGGGATCTTCGACGACGAGAACCAGTTGTCGCCGCTGTACGACCAGTACCGCAACCAGGACCACCGCTACGGACACGTGCTGGATCTGGCATACTCCGGCGACGACATCATCGCCCCCGACCCCACAAAGGTGAAAAACAATCTTGCGATTATGTACCGGCAAATGATAACCAACGCGCCGTGTCCGTTGCTCTTCTTCGGCAAACCTCTTCGCGCTGACAATACGCAGAGTTCCGGCATGGGGACCATCGAGAACATCCCGCACAACTCCGTCCACCGATGGGTGGGGGACCCCAGAAGCGCTAATCATGAGGACATGGGTAACTTCTATTCTGCTGCTAATGATCCGGTGTTTTATTCCCTCCATTCCAATGTAGATCGCATGTGGACCATTTGGAAGACTCTGGGTGGGAAACGTACGGATATCGCCGACAAAGATTGGCTGGATACTGAGTTCCTCTTCTTCGACGAAACCAAGACTGCCGTGAAGGTTAAGGTTAGAGATTGTCTGGACAACGAGAAGCTTGGGTACACTTTTCAGGATATGCCCATTCCATGGAAGGATTTCAAACCCACCAGGAAAAGAACGGTAAAATTGAGCATCACGGAGTCAGTGCCCGCATCCACCGACGTCTTGCCGGCACCATTGAGCAAGAATTTAACGTTTTACGTGACGAGATCAACATCGGTTCCTGAGACACAGGAGGAGATGCTGAATCTTGACCTAGTCTACGACGACACCAAGTTTATACGGTTCGATGTGTTCCTGAACGAGGACGAGGACGTGAATACGGTGGAGCTGGACAGGACGGAGTACGCCGGAAGTTTTGGCAACTTGCCGCATGTGCATGAGGGTGGCTCCGCTACTCCCAAGACGACCACTTTTAACCTGGCGATCTCGGAGCTGATTAAGGACTTGGACCTGGAAGGTGACGACAAGGTTCTGGTGACACTGGTGCCAAAAGTTGGGGGTAGTTTTGTCACCGTCAACAATGCCTATATCAATACTCTGGATTGCTAGTTAAGATCCATCTATCCATGCATGTTGTACGTCTGCCTAGCTAGCTAGCTCCCTACCGTACCGGTGGCGCTAGCTACTTGAAATAAGCTAGCTAATTAAGGTGTTTGTTTTTGTTAGTTGTAATAATAAGTGTTCACTCCACAAATCCTATAGGGGTAGAGGTGTGGGACTTCTGACTATAGGAATTTCGTCTTTTGTGAGTGAGCTAGTAATAATAAGTGTGTTAATGTATGTGTAGTGGTTGGTAATTGAGTTTTTGCAGTCATCCAGTAATTGTAATGTCTCTTAATTTTCTAGTGTAATAAGCCTTGCATTTCTTGTTGTCTTATTTTGATTTGAAATTCTATATATTATACCTAGCTAATTGAATTGAAGTATGTGTTCAATCTCAACTAAAAAATTAATTAAATTGATAGTTGAATTTCACATTTATTATGTTTAATTATTATGTAATACTTTAAAAACAACTAGTCAAAAGGTCTATTTATTACATCAAAATATCAAGGTAAGGCTCACATGCCATAGAGGTAACATAAAACTAGTGCGCTCTCAAATCTGGGTACGTACTATTCCATACCTGAAAACATATTTTACAAAAATTAGTGAATAATGCTAAGTAAACTCACTCCAACACGTAAAACTACTTAAGTATACATTTCATATTCAAATAGGTTTGCAATGGTATGAATACGTATATATATGATACCAACGAACTCAGCAGAAGGATTCCAAAAGATATGTTAGGAACTCTTGTATTAGGATTTTGATGATACCAATGTGACTTAGAATGTAGACCCCTAACTTTCGTTATTTCCATCGCTGCTTTCGTTCTAGATGAAAGTTGCCATAACTCATCTTGTAATTCGTGTTAAGTTAGACAAACACACGAAAACGAGTTATGTTTCTTAGTTGGGTCTGTCAAAGCGAAAAGAGACAAAGAACACGAGATCAAAGGCTTCAACAACGAAAGATCACCTCAGGTTATCAACCATCTCGACAAGACACTGACCTTTATGAAGATTTATCAAGACACTCATTCTCTTCCATGACGAGAAGAATGTCTCAACTGTCTGAGTTGATTAACCATCATAGGGACAAAAAGGACCTTAAAGTGTGGGACACATATACCCAGGAGCATTAAATGAAGCTGTACTATTCTTCAGAAGCTAAAAGACAAAAACCCTAAGGATTTCATGTCTACAACGGCTACATGGTACAAACCGCATTAATGGAGCATTTATTGCGCCAAGCTCCCCGGTCTTTACCCACTGGATAATAGGTTTGAAATTTCATCTCCCTCCAACGGATGAAATTTTCCACACCTATAAATACCCACATTCATCAACTTAGAAGGTGTTGGTTCTTTTCACTCGACCATACTTTCAAGCAAAAGCTCTTATACAAGCTCACCTCCTTACCAAGCTTTTGTGAACCAGTTTTCAAGGCGTGAAGAATTTTTAAAAGAAGTTCATCAATCTTCATCTTCCACCTTGAAGAAGACAACGTAACACAAGAGATACAACCAAGTTAACCAACAATGGAATTCTAAGAGTTCTCACATCAAACATGGTATAGTGGTATATATACATAGCCAAAGGAATACATTTATCAATAATCAAATTCAATATAATAATACAATATCCAACCTTTACACCAATCCAACTTCAACACTAATAGCGGAGCCGAAGCTCATATTCCACCAATTCATATTATAATAATTCATATTCAAAGAAATATATATATATATATATATATATATATATATATATATATATATATATATATATATATATATATATCACAATCCAAATGGGTACCAAGGAACTAGGATTCATGATAGAATAACAATCAATAGTTGAGACAAGAGTTCACAAGACACTGGAACAAACTCAACTTGAACCAAAGATAGACCACAAATGCATTTAACTGAAACACTTGAACAGTAGCTTAACGGGAGTGAATGACGGGGCCAGAGTACCTGTCACTCACTGCCATGAATGTCACGGTGGTATTTGGCGGGCTTGGCCTCCCCACCATTCCCCCCTTCACGACTCTTGGGGGGTGTTTCACGGTGGTCACCCACCTGTGACTCACTCCATCAAGACCAAACTTCTTAGGACAACAGAGATGAAATAGACACGAAACAGTGATATTCAACAAAACCAACACAGTAGCTAAAATAATCATCAGAAATCCCTTAACTCAATACCAAAACACTACCAAAATCATAAGGATTCAAGAATGAAGGACATAGCTCAATAACAACACAATAACTCATCAAGAACAAGACATTTATCAAGAATAAACACCAAAAAGATTTCAAGAACATCAACAATACATATATAAGAACGTAAATAGGTTTTGATGGACATGGAGTTTACCTCTTTAAGCTAGCAATCCAACTTCAACCTCCTAGCTATCACCCTAACAACCCTTCTTCCTCTTGATCCTCTAAAAACCCAAAACCCCAATGTAGAAGAATGAAAATGTGCTATAAAGATGGTGGAATAATAAAGGAAAATGCAAAAGAAAGGGAGATCTTACCAAATTTTAGGTTGATGAATAAAAGATAGAGCTTTGTAGTATTTCTCTTGAATAAAATGGAAATAATAATTATTAGTCAATTATGCTAATATTTGTGTAATTAATTTCTTAATTATCAGGATAACTATTAGGTAATTATACTAATATTATGCAATTATACTTTTATGCCATATTTAATTGTAATTATACTAATATTCATGTAATTATTAGCTGCCTTAATTAACATAATAGTTATTAGCTTTTATAAGAAATAGTTTGGACGGAAAATTACAAAAAGTTGGATTTTGTTTTAAAATTGCAATTCAATATTTAATTTAAAAGTGATATTTTTTGTGCATATTTAGATATAAAATTATTCATAAAAATTGATGTCAATTGCGGCCTTTAACAAGGAAAGAAACACGATAGGCATGGGCTAGGTTTTAAGGGATCATGGTGGTCTTTTTTTGGCCGCTAAAGGAATGTGTATGCCGGGGAGATACCTAGTTGAGGTTGCAGAGGCAATTTGTGTACGGGAAGCCCTTAGCTTGTTAAAGGGTACTGGATTGGGAGATGTAGATGTTGAAACAGACTCCCAATTGATTTATTTTGCTTTACTCTTTTTATTCTGCTTTTGGTTTAGTTATTGATGATGTTAAAGAAGTGGCATCCACTATTGATGGTGTCGACTTCTGTTTTGTTAGGCGATCTGCGAATCGTGCTGCATGCCCATACTGTTGCTCGAGAAGTCGTTTCTATGTCAGGTTGGGGAGAGTGGTTTGATGACCCTTTTCCTTATCTTGCTGATTGTATTCACTCTGAGTTAATGCATTAAGTTTATATTCTAAAAAAAAATATATAAAAAAAAAATTGATGTCAATTTCTTCTAAAATTTTACTTTCAATTGCAATTAAAACCAATCCTTAAATTCTAGTGGCTGCCGATGATAAAGATGATGAATGTATAGATTGAGGTTTTGTTGATCGGATCGCGTTGGGAGTTGGGGGTTGAGGAGCGGTGTGCCGGTGAGAAGATTAGCCCAACTCTACAGAAGAGAAGATGTTGATAAACTTAAATTAACTAGCTTTCGTAAGTTAATACGTGAAAAGGTGTGAACACATTTATGTTCATTTCTCATTTCTGACGTCCTAAACACTTCTCAAATTACCAAAACTAGACTCCATTGTAATCTTCTCAATTCAATTTATTAATTACATCTTTTTTGAGTCACGGTCTCACGATATTATCCCAATGATTTTTTTTTTTTTTCTTTTCAAAATGATGGAGATGATCCGCTCTATATAAGCTTAGAACAGGCGAACAGGCAACTCCAGATTGAGCAAGTAAACCTAGCTAGCCAGCAGCCATGGCTACGTCAACTCATCCAATAATTTCATGCACCAACGTTTCCTTCTCCACCAAGTCATCGTCTTCTCCCGGTAACTTTTCCAGACGACCTTCCCAGATCTTTCTCAACCCTAACCCCAGGAGCGCAGCAAGACGTGGTGACGTCATCAAGATCCGGTGCGCAGCCTCGCCGGAGGGGCGTGAAAACCCGGACAGAAGCCTCTCTGAGGCGAAACTTGACCGGAGAAATGTCCTTCTGGGCCTCGGCGGTCTCTACGGCGCTTACAACTTGGGCGGTGGCTCCAACCCCTTTGCCCTGGCTGACCCTGTGCCCATCCCTGACGTTTCCCACTGCGACCTTTCTACCATTTCTTCGGATAAGACCAAGAAATGTAAAGTGCCATACCGTTGTTGCCCTCCCATCACGGATACTACTGGTGTTGAGTACTATAAGATCCCCAGTTTTTCCAAGCTTAATGTGAGGCCAGCAGCTCACGCCGTAGACGACGTCTACTTGGAGAAGTACAAGGCCGCCATTAAGAAAATGAAGGAACTTCCCCCCAGTGATCCCCGAAGCTTCGACAATCAAGCTAAGGTCCACTGCGCTTACTGCAATGGCGCTTATCAACTCGCCGGCGAGACCTATCAGATCCACTTCAACTGGCTCTTCTTCCCTTTTCACAGATGGTACCACGCCCGCACTTAATTTTTATATTATTGCTATTGCTAATACTAGCTAATAGGCCGGACCAAATAAAATTGGTGGGTATTTAATTTGCTCTATTATTTTATTTAATTTGCATTGCATGTATGTATGTATGTATATATCAGGTATCTGTACTTCTTCGAAAGGATCATGCAAAGCATGATTAACGACCCAACATTCACGTTGCCGTACTGGAACTGGGACAATCCACCGGGCATGACTTCTTGCCGGCACCCTTGGACAAGAAGACTTTAACGTTTCACGTGAAGAGATCAACATTGGTTCCTGAGACACAGGAGGAGATGCTGAATCTCGAGCTAAGCTACGACGACACCAAGTTTATACGGTTCGATGTGTACCTGAACGAGGACGAGGACGTGAATATGCTGGAGAAGGACACGAAGAACTACTCCGGAAGTTTTGCCAACTTGCCACATGTGCATGAGGGTGGCCCCGCTACTCCCAAGAAGACCACTTTTCCCCTGGCCATCTCGGAGCTGATTCATGACTTGGGGCTGGAAGGTGACCACAAGGTTCGGGTCACTCTGGTGCCAAGAAGGGGGGGTAATTTGGTCCACGTCGAAAAGGCATATATCAATACTATGGATTTCTAATTCTATCCATGAATATATAGAATGCCGGCAGGCCGGCAGGCAGGCATGTATGTCCATGCATGTTTTACGTCTGCCTAGCTAATTAAGGTGTTTGTTTGTTAGTTGTATGAATAAGTGCTCAACCCGGCCACAAATCTTATAGGAATAGAGATGTGTGGGACCTTTGACGTTAGAGATTTCGTCTTTTGTGAGCAAGTAAGTAATAATAATAATAATAAGTGTGTTAATGTATGTCAATAATTGTAATGTCTCTTAATTTTCTAGTGTAATAAGCCGTGCATTTCTTGTTGTCTTATTTTGATTTGAAATTCTATATATTATACTTTCTTTTTTTTTGATAACATATATTATACTTAATTGAATTGAAGTGTGTGTTCAATCTCAACTAAAAAGCTAATTAAGTTAATAGTTGAATTTCACATTTATGTTTGTGTAATATATTACATGCTCAACACCCCCCTTCAATGTGTGCCATACCAGCTGGTTGTCTCTAACACTAAATTGAAACATGTATTATATTCCATCTCAACTAAAAGTCTAAGTTGACAATTGGACCACACATGCATTTATATTTATATATATTACATGCTCAACACCCCTCTCAATGTGTGTCATACCACCTGGTTGTCTCTAACACTAAATTGAAATATGTATTATATTCCATCTCAACTAAAAGTCTAAGTTGACAATTGGACCACACATGCATTTATATTTATATATATTACATGCTCAACATATCTCACCCCATTTAATTATTTCATACATATATATACCTATCATATACATATATATATATACCTATCATACTCATATCATCTCAACTAAAAGCCTAAGCTGATAGTTGGATTGCACGTTAATGGTGATATGCTCACACGCCCCCTCACGTGTGCGGTGGGTTCCAAGCAACACGTGGACCGATAAACCGTAGTCGCTATGCTCACACGCCCCCTCACGTGTGCAGTGGATTCCAAGCAACACGTGGACCGATAAACCGTAGTCGCTTACGAGTGGCGATAGTTGGATTGCACGTTAATGGCGATATGCTCACACGCCCCCTCACGTGTGCGGTGGGTTCCAAGCAACACGTGGACCGATAAACCGTAGTCGCTATGCTCACACGCCCCCTCACGTGTGCAGTGGATTCCAAGCAACACGTGGACCGATAAACTGTAGTCGCTTACGAGTGGCGATAGTTGGATTGCACGTTAATGGCGATATGCTCACACGCCCCATCACGTGTGCGGTGGGTTCCAAGCAACACGTGGACCGATAAACCGTAGTCACTATGCTCACACGCCCCCTCACGTGTGCAGTGGGTTCCAAGCAACACGTGGACCGATAAACCGTAGTCGCTTACGAGTGGCGATAGTTGGATTGCACGTTAATGGCGATATGCTCACACGCCCCCTCACGTGTGCGGTGGGTTCCAAGCAACACGTGGACCGATAAACCGTAGTCACTATGCTCACACGCCCCCTCACGTGTGCAGTGGGTTCCAAGCAACACGTGGACCGATAAACCGTAGTCGCTTACGAGTGGCGATAGTTGGATTGCACGTTAATGGCGATATGCTCACACGCCCCCTCACGTGTGCGGTGGGTTCCAAGCAACACGTGGACCGATAAACCGTAGTCGCTATTGATTGTAGCAAAAATAAGATGTGAGCTCGGGTGTGTTATGTCATCCTCAGGGGATTGGGAGATATGGCACGCAATACGCAATCACAAGAAACTAGGCACTAGCACTAGGCAATCAACAAGAAGCTAAGCAATCTACAAGTTTAAGGAAATGATAAGACTAACACATATACACAAAGATAAACACAAAATAAAGAAATAGGACTCAAGCTTGGGAGCATTATCATCTAGATGCTTTAACAACCTAAGGGATTAGGGAGAACAAGTAAGCAAGGAATCAAACGGGAATGCACGTAGGTATCCTAGTCTATGAACCATTTTCGTGATTAATAAACAAGGATTAGAACAAGAAATTGCCCCACTTTCGTGGTGAATCAATTCCAAGTCCATCAAGCACAAAAGCATCTAAAGCCCCCAATTTCCCCTATTTTCGTAGGAAGAAATCGGGTCTATGCAAGGGGTGGCTTGGATTCATCACCCAACTCTCGTTGAGGCAAGGAATCCTCCAAAAACAAGCTAATGAATGTGTACATCAAACATTAACAAGATATAAATACAAAACCTTCACAAACACATGAACCCTAGGTTGGAGTTCTTCCCCTTTTTGCAATAATCACAAATCAAGCATCAAGATAGATAATACAACCCTAACTCAAGTCCATAAACTAACTACTCATGATTAAATAGCATAAAGAACACAAAAGCATAAGTAACAAACATAAATCTTGCAAAATAAAGAGATAAAAGGAAGAAAAGCTTCTCTATTGAAAATGGATGGTGGAATCTTGAAATGTTGGAATCCAAGCTTCAAATCCAAGATTACAAGCTTCAAAAGTGTTAAGAAACATAAATCTAAGCCTATTCTAACCTAAAAATATGAAGGAGAATGAAAGAGAGTGTCTAGGGTTCTAACAAGAGTCAAAACCAAGTAGAAATGACTAAAAACGGAGTTTATAAAAAGTTGCAGCAGAGGTGACACGGCCAGGGACATGGCCATGTCCCTGGCCGTGTCCAAAACAGCAGTAGCTACTGGAATGCACAGAAAATACACGGCCACAGACACGGCCGTGCACTTGGCCGTGTCTTTTGTCCTTCAAAACGCCCGATTTTGGAATTATAGTCTTCATGAAAGTTGTATCCCTTCGAGTCTTCTTTCCAATGGCGCAAGAATCACTTCATTTGGACATTCCTAGGCCGAGCTATGGTCCAAAAACCAAACGGTAGTCAGTTTTGGTTTGTCAGTTTGGAACTTCAACTTCAAGGACAATTTGGACCCCTGTGGCTTCCTTTTTAGACTTTGATGTATTTATAAGAATTGTAGCCCTTTGAGTCTTCTTTCCAATGGAACAAGAATCACTTCATTTCAACACTCCTAGGCTGAGATATAGTCAAAATACCAAACATTGGTCGAAATGAGCGAAAATTGCAATGCATTGATCTTTTGCTCCTCTTTTGTTTTGGTTTGCCCAGATGACCAACACCATTGAAAAAACCACTCTTAGGCTCCTTTTGAAGTGTTTTAGCCATCCTCTTAGCTTCTCCTTGGCTCCCATTGACTTCTAATGCATCCAAAACGCTCCATTTGACTCCAATGTCCACAAAAATGCCTGAAAATACTCAACTTTGCTTCCAATGCTTTTCAAACCAAACTCCTTGCAAAATAACACAATTTAGTCCTAATCTCATAAAATTTGGAAGAATATATGAGCAAAATGGCCTAGTGAAAGGGGAGAAAATATAGACAATTAAGCACTTATCAACTCCCCCACACTTAAACATTTGCTTGTCCTCAAGCAAAGACAAGAAATAAATCACCAACCTAGCAATCAAATTGATCATACTCCCACTTTGCACAACCTATCAATCCACAATCCAACTTGTAACAACACAACTTGTTTCAAGAATCATTTTAGCCTTCCACACAAGTTCAATTCTCAAGCCAATAACCAAGCACCAAAACTATTTAAGTGTGTGATGATCAAGTGTGCACAAATGCTAAGTTGAGATTATGCAAAACTTGGCTTTGAAGCACTTATCAGCACCAAAACTATTTAAGTGTGTGATGATCAAGTGTGCACAAATGCTAAGTTGAGATTATGCAAAACTTGGCTTTGAAGCACTTATCAGCTATGCTCACACGCCCCCTCACGTGTGCGATGGGTTCCAAGCAACACGTGGACCGATAAACCATAGTCGCTATGCTCACACACCCCCTCACGTGTGCGGTGGGTTCCAAGCAACACGTGGACCGATAAACCGTAGTCACTTACGAGTGGCGTTGAGATTCGAACCCATGACCTTTGGTCTGGCTCTAATACCAAATTGAAACATGTGCTCCATCTCAACTAAAAGCTTAAGCTGAAAGTTGGATTGCACGTTAATGGCTATATGCTCACAAGGGCTTCACGAATTGCAATAGCCTCGGAGTCTTTGGGAGGGCAGAATCCTACTTTTGAGAGGCTGGAAGCAGCAACAAAGTCACCAGTGCTTTTACGAATAACCAAACCAAAGCCCAGCCTGCCTAAAGTGGTGTCGATTGCCGCATCGATGTTGAGCTTGGCGTGGATGTTAATTCAGAAGAAAGGGTGTGAATGAATCAATCTGACTTGGCGTAAAAATCAAAGATAAAATGTTAAGAGCATCAATATCAGAAATTTATTGGGAGTTTATTCAGGCAGATTTTTGAGGTTTTTGAGGTTTAATTGCTTACTTGGCGGGGGAGAGGCAAGAAAGAGGGAGGGGTAACTCCTCTGGCACGATATGAGTTATTTCTTTTCTCAATGAAAGAGAAATAAATGAAAGTCATGGGTTGTTGTGTGCGTTTCGCGCACAACAAAGTCACGTCGGGCGCGTTAGGCGCGCCAATCGTTATACCCTGCACCACGGCGCACATTGCAATGTGCGTCCTCCCTCCGATCACAAAATGACGTCGTTTTGTTAAGTTGTGTGGAGAACTGACACGACGGAGTGTATGTATATTATGTTATACAATTATGTACATTCATAACATGGGATTTTTTAAAGAGTTAAGAGTTTATGTGTATTATGTTAACGGTTTATGCGTATTATGTTAAGAGTTTGTGTGTATTATGTTAAGAGTTTATGTGTATTATGTATTATGTTAGATTATGTGTATTATCCTTTCAAAAAAGTGTATGTGTATTCTGTTATATAATTATGTACATTCTATTATACAATTATATACATTCTATTATACAATTATGTACATTCGAAACATGAGAATTTTTTTTAAGAAGTTAACATCTGATACCAAACTCCGCAGAGCAGGCGTGATCGGAGAAACGAGAAGCGAAAAACGCGGAGCAAGCCTATACGTTTAGGAAAAGAAAAAAAAGAAAAATACGAAAAAAAAAAATAATACGAAGGCAAAAGAAGAAAAATACAAAAAAAAAAAAAAATCCATGTCAGCAATATTATTACCAGTAACCTGTAGGAAACCTGTAAAAAGTTCTAGATGAAAAAAAATTATGATTTATGGCTCTAAATATCACTTATTAAAGATCATGGTGTGGCATGGATAATCAGGAATGGTTTATGATGCGGGATGACACTTTATCCTTTTCTTTTAAGAAGTTAACATCAGACACAGGAAAAGTCTGTGTATTCTGTTATATAATTATGTACAATTTATTATACAATTATGTACATTCTATTATACCATTATGTACATTCGAAACATGGAATTATAATAATAATGATGATGATGATGATGACGACGATATATATATATATATATATATATATATATATATATATATATATATATATATATATATGGTGATTATAATAAATAAATAAATGATAGGTAATTCTTGTAGGACTGAATACAGAGTCTTAATATATACTCCCTATTATATTGGACCAAATATCAATTTTGGTCTATATATTTAATTCCTATAAATTTTCATCAATGACTATTGTTTTAGTACCAATTTTCATTCATAACTATTGTTTTAGTGCTAAAATTCATTATGTCGGTCACCCCTTCGTTTAAGGCATGTCAAAACATGAAATTATTAAGGGTATTTTTTTATCATTTCGAATTAAGATCTCAATTTTTTTTGACCATGATGAATAAAGAAATTTAAGTCTTAAGATCGATCACAATCCCAGTTCTAATTGAGATATTATGTTGAAAATGATTTTGGCATGTTTTAAAGGAATGAGTGATTGATATGGATTAAAACTATCGTTTTGCTAATAGTAATAATGGGACCAAAATTGATATTAGGTGATGTATTTTTATATTGCATGTATGTATGTATCAGGTATTTGTACTTCTACGAAAGGATCTTGCAAAGCCTGATAGACGACCCAACATTCACGTTGCCGTACTGGAACTGGGACAATCCACAGGGCATGATCCTCCCGGAGATGTTCGACGACTCGTCGTCGTCGCCGCTTTACGACCAGTACCGCAACCAGCACCACCGCAAGGGATACGTGATGGATCTAGCATACTCCGGCGACGAAATCTCCGACTCCGTGAGCGACTTCCGTAAGATGAACAACAATCTTGCGATTATGCACCGGCAAATGTTAACGAACGCGCCGTGTACGTTGCTCTTCTTTGGCAAGCCTCTTCGCGCTGATAATGAGCAGGTGGACAATACCGGCATGGGGACCATCGAGAACATCCCGCACAACTCTATCCACCGATGAATTAAGATCGATACATCGTCTCCATCTATCCATGTATATATGTCCATGCATGTTGTAATAATAAGTGCTCACTCCACAAATCTTATAGCGGTAGAGGTGTGGGACCTTGTGGGCAAATAATAATAAGTGTGGTAATGTATGTGTAGTGGTTGGTAATTATATATATTGGGCTTCTGTAATCAATAATTGTAATGTCTCTTAACTTTTCAATGTAATAAGTTGTGCATTATATTTCTTGTTGTCTTATTTTGATTTGAAATTCTATATATTATACTTAATAATTGAATTAAAGTATGTGTTCAATTTTAACTAAAAAGCTAATTAAGTTGATACTTGAATTTCACATTTATATTTATGTAATATATATATATTATATATTTGGACTAGCTCTCAAGTTCTACTTCCTACTTTTACTTTTTCATATCAATTTTGATGTTGAAACTTTGTGATTTTTCAATACGATGTCACACAAGTCCGGCCCAATTAAGGAATTAAGGGGTAAAGTACGGGCCAGATTGATTTCTCTAAAACCATATAAGGGGGCTGGCCCAATTAAGGGACAACTTTGTGGTTTTTCAATACTAGGTCACACCGGGTCAACCCAATTAAGGGGTAAGTGCTGGCCAGATTGGTTTGGTTCACTAATGAAGGGATTAAGGGGTTATAAAGTGCTGACCAGATTGGTTTAGTCCATTAATAAAAAGATTAAGGGGTAAAGTATTGGTCCGATTGGTTTGATCTACTGATGAACATAAATTCTATGTATTGGACAACCAAGTTAATTTGCGAAGTGGAATTTGGTTCCACAATAAAAAATACTCCGGGGTATATATATAAAAGATTAAATACTCAAAATGGTCCCTCGACTATAGCTAAATTCACAAATTGGTCCTCAACTTTCAATTTCACCCAATTAAGTCCTTAACTTTGTAATTTTAACACAATTTGGTCCTCTGTCTATTTGACCGTGTGTTGACTGTGATTTTTGAGGATATATATGTAATTTCATGGTCCATCGTAGGGATGTCAACGGGGCGGGGTGGGGGCGGGGGACATACCCCCCATCCCCATCCCCGACTTTCTTCCCATTCCCCGTCCCCATCCCCATCCCCGCCGGGGAATGAAAAATTCCCCCCATCCCCATCCCCACGGGGATTATTTGGGGACGGGGAATCCCCACCCCGTTAACAAGTTATAAAAAAAAATAAAAATTAAACATTAAAAAACATTTAAATAAATAACGCATATATATCCATCCCCAACTCAAAGTTGTATTTAATATTTTACAATTAAACATTTTATTTAAATATGCATGACATACAATGACAAGAATACTTCTAAAATTATATATATTGTATACAAAGTACTACATTTGTGTGTGTTGTGTGGCAATATATATATATATATATATATATATATATATATATATATATATATATATCTGAGACGGGGCGGGGAGAGTACTCCCCATCCCGCCCCCGTCCCCGAAGGGGTGGGGAATCGGGTTCCCTGTCGGGTGCGGGTTCAATTGACATTCCTAGTCCATCGTCGGTTTTTTAAGGTTCCGGTTGCATTTCCAGACCGCACTGTTACATTTGAATCCACTGTCGAAAGCAATCTACCAAACCCGGTCACCTTCTTCATCCTCCCTTTGGATTCAATGTAGTTGAATTCGTACCAGAGCGAAGAAGACGACGTGTTTCCGAACTGGTGCAACGTCATCCTGGAGGCCTCCACGTGCTCCGACGAGAGCTGAAGGTTCTTCTGGAGATCGTCGATCACGGCCAACAAACGGTCAATTAGATGGAGGACCAAATCGTGTCAAAATTACAAAGTTAAAGACTTAATTGGGTGAAATTGAAAGTTGAGAACCAATTTGTGAATTTAGCTATAGTCGAGGGACCATTTTGAGTATTTACTCTATATAAAATATATCAAAAGGAGTTGATGACAACGTAACACAAGCAAGTTGGTTTAGTGACTTATACGAAGTCTTTTTTTTTTTTTTAATTTTCTTTTCAAATTTATTGTATGATTTTAAAACTACTATTACAAATCAATGATATTTTATCTCATATTTGTAAGAGGTATTTTATCTTAATTCTCTCTTCATCTCTCTTTTTCATCATGGTGATAACCTTTTTTAAAAAAATCGTGAAAATTCTTCTAATAGGCATAGCCTTATAAGACAAAATTAAAACCACCGGCAGAGACGAAGTCAAAAATTCGGTTGGGAGGGCGAAAAAGGACGAGCGAATTTATAATTTTTTTTCAGTAAAGGCGAAACATAAAAATAAAAGTGATATTTAAAAAAAAAATTACTTAAGAAATATAGTTATAAATATTGTTGGATATGAGCAAAAAATAAAATACATCGAAACTTTATAAAAATATTAATAACAAAATATGAAACATAATTAATTTGATAAAATAATTTGAATAGAAAACACATTATAAATTACACATCTCATTATTAATATAAAAAGGTCTTAGGTTTGAATCTCATCCCAATCAAAGTTGGCATAATTAGTACTCTATTTTACTCTTATTATCCTTACAATGTCTTTATTCAGTGAAATTTTTTGTTTATTAATTATCAATAAATTAATTAAAAGAAATATTTTCATTAGTTATATTGTCTTTATTTTTCTCAAATGTAAAAATTTTTACATTCAAATTCATCAATTGATTATATTCACTATATTATTTATTATCTTTTTTCTGCACTATTTTTCTAATTAAATATCAAAATTATAATACAAAATAATGCTATATATTTATTTACCAAGTATTTTATTAATACCATGAAAAAATTTAAAAAATATAATTAATAAAGCCAACCATATTAACTACTTGAGAGATTTTGTGACAAAAAGAGTATTCAAATCACACAACAAATTATTTTCAAAAAAAAAAAAAATCACACAACAAATTGAAGTGAGAACTACCTCGCAATGTCCTTGTTTGACAATCAGCAGTTAGGGGTTAGCGTTAGCGTATTATACTAGCGGATTTGACCAGCGAATTTATTTAATTATTAACATTGGGTAGAAAAAATGACCGCCAAATTATTAAATCAAATGAATGGTTCATATTGTTCAGGTTTTAACTTTTTTCTTTTAAGATTTTCTAATTTATCCTTAATTATATGATTATCCATTTAATTTTTCTGTTAATTCACCGTTAGTCTAATTCTAATATTAAAGTCTAATATAGAATTATAACTACACCATTAATCTAATTCTAACATTAAAGTCTTAATAGAACTTAACCACAAATCCTAATGTCGGAATCTCCTCAAACAATATTAGTATATATTACCAAGTGGCTTGTGGTCCACTGGTATCGAATTGCTCTCTTATGTGGGAGGTCTAGGCTTCGAGCCTCGTTGTAGGCATAGTTTGTATGGGTATCCCCCTTCCTTTGTAATAAAAAAATATTAGTATATATTTAATATTTTATGCCCTAATTTTTATTTGTTCTCCCTTATGTCCCGTATTTGGTTTCAACCATACCTATACAATTATTTTATTGACAATTATAATCAATCTTGACTATATTATCTTGCATTTGTAAACTTAGAATTACCTATTTAACCCGCATTGGCTTAGCTCAATGGTTTTGAACCTCGGCGGCGGCAGTGCGGGAATTATGTCCAAAGTGGGCAGATTCCTTGTCCACAATGCTCTGTCGGGTCGGAGTGTGGGGGGCCATTGGGGTTGGAGACTCAACCTTTGGGAGAATAATTACTTATTTAAATACGCAAATTCAACCTTCAATTATCTATGCATGAACAATTTCAATATAATCCTGCCTTAATATACTTTAAAGTACTTATTTAAAAAAAAAACATTGGGCATTATCCCAATCGCGCAATGCGCGTAAAAAACTAGTACATATATACATACAAAAATTATATATGGGGTGGGGTGGGGTGAGGGGGGCAGCCCCCCTGTCCCCCTTTGGCTCCGTCCCTATGTGTGTGTTTATTAAATATTAAAAAAACTATTAAAAACGTGATTGTGTTGGAGCAATAGGGGAATGAGTAAAAAAACTATAAAACTATGTTGATGTCCAACAATTCAAACCATTAATCTTTTAATATTACCAAACATGTGTTCTACCAACTAATCTAACTCATTTCTTGTGACATTTAATAGTTTTTTTATACTAACACTAAAACATGTACTATATATACATATATACCTACAGAAATTATATAGGGTGGGGTGGGGTGAGGGGGCAGCTGCCCCTGCCTCTTTGGCTCCGTCCTTACCACCATGATTGAGAATGAGAACTCGAGAAACCATTAGATTATCTACTCTAATTATATGTGTTAACTGAAATTATTGAAAACCCGAGTACACGGCACGACCTCTTAAAGTACAACTAATTATATTGAGTGTGAAATTAATAATTTTGGTTGGAGACTTCACTTTTGGACTGAGCGTAAACTCAACGGCGCACCAACTACTCTTCCACTTCCACACCCAACAACACGGGTAGCGCCATTTCAACTCGGACTCGCAGCCGGAGATCGGCGATGGCCGCGGCCGGAAAGTCTCTTTCCTCCTCCGTCACCGGAACCGCTGCGTCGTCCGCTGAGGCTGCCCAGCCTTTCGATTTCTCTTATGATTCGCAGCCGCCGAGGCTCGTTCTGTCGTCCGATCAGCTTCGGTACTGCTCCGAAGCACTCAAGGTACTCAAAGAGAAGAGGTTTCAAGCTCCCGAAAAAATCCGCCAGGAGTTCGGTACCTTACAGGTCTCTTTCTTTTTTAAAATACTCCGTATTTGTTTATTCATTTAATTTTTAAGACGCTGAGCCTTTTTGATTTCATTTGGGTCCTGCTTTTTAATTTTTGAAATTTTATTTGTGGTTCTTTAATTTGTTTCAAAGAGGTTTGAACTTGCATACAATTAAAGTACTTGCCACATCATAGCATGGCCATTATTGAGCCAATTGTTTGTTGTAGGGAAAGCTAAGATTGGTTAGAATACTA